GGCCGGGGCGCGCCCGGCCTGGTCCCCGCCGGGCCGCCTTTGTTCCTGCTGACAGCTGGGCTGTTAGACCTCCCGGCTCCTCCGCGCTCGCCGCGCGGGGACCGGCCTCATCTCTCCGCTCTCACTTCAGCAGACCCCGCGGACGGCCCTGTCCGCCCAGCCTTTCTCTCCCTTTCTCCGACTGTTCCCGTCTGGCCCTATCCCCTCCTTTCATTACCTGCACTCAGTTCTTATTCCTTCGGGTTTCCTTTATCCATCCTTCTCCCTCTCCTTTTCTCCGTTTCCCCCTGCTCTATCACCCGTTCCTCTTACTCATCAGTTTCCTTTTCCCAGCACCCTCTCCCCATTCCAACCTCCAAACCCCACGGAAAGGCTGGATTTCTAGCTTCCCAGACCGGATCAGCAGCCTAGCGAGGGGAACTGCTTCTCAGGCCAGCATTACAGCCCGGAGCCTTGGACCTCCTCCCAAGACATTGCAAAGGCAAACTTTCCCAGCTCGCTCCCAGTGACTGAGTTTCAGGCGAAAGCTGAGGCCTGTTTCAAGTTTATAGCTAGTCCCAGTACTATTCTAAAACTATCATTTTCTCTATTACCCTCACTTTCAACTTCTAGCAATTGAGCTGGGAGGGGAGCCAAGCTTATACGCTTCGGTTGGACAAAGGGTTAGTTAAGTGGGGTGCCAGGTGTTGCATGAGGCTGAGGTCCTGAGGGTGCACAGAGGCTAATCCGATAAAACCAGACATGGCTCTGCCCAGGGAGTGTCTGGCCTCAGCCGACAGAGGTGTGTATATGTGGAGGCAGGAAGATGAGTTGGCTGACCTTTGAGTATAAGTAGAATGGGGAAGACAGCCCAAAGGGAAGCAACATCATTTTCTTCCTGCCACCCCTCCACTCAATACCCTGAAGAGGATCCTCACTACCTCCAGATCTTGGCGCTAAAGAGGGCAACTCTCAATTCCAGGCGTCCTGGGAGGCAGCACAGCATGGGGTTCAAGAGCCCAGACAAGCTCTGCTACTTATCATCTGTCTGACCCTGATCCAGTCCTTAACCTCCCTGTATCTCTGTTTTTTCATTTATGAATAGGGTAATAATTCCCAGAATGTAAACTCCCCGAGGGCAGGGACTGTTCTCTTTTGTTCATGGCTGAGGGTCTTGGTCTGTTTGTCCATCCCCAACACCTAGAACCTGCCTGGCACATAGTGGGCACTCCACAAATATCTGTTAAATGAGTGAATTCCTAGTTGATAGGCCTGTTGGGAGGATTAAATAAGAATCCTTGGCATGTGGTGAGTACATACACCAGTTATGGCAGTTATGACAAGTAATACTGCAACTCCCATGTGTCAACCCCAAAGGCTACTCAGCCTTCTCTGAACATCACTTCTTCTTTCTCACCTGTGTACACACTCATCCCTCAGTTTGAAAAGCCTTTTTCCTGCTCCTCTCAACTCTACCTGTCAAAATCTGAGTCCTAAAATGCAATCCCTACGCCTCCTCTGATCATCCCAGGCAGAATGATGGCTCTTTTCTCTAAGCTCCACGCTTCCTGTGACCTGTTCATTGGCACAGCACAGGTGTGCTTGCTTGCATGGTGGCTGTGACTTCAGGCCTGTCTTTCCCTAGGGTGTGAGCTGTCTGGGGTCGGGGACTGGACTCTACGTCTATCTCCAGGGACAGATGTGGTGCCTCACAGGTAGGAGTTTCTCAGGAATATTTGCCGAATGGGTTAACGTAGATCAAACATTCCAGCATCTTAAAGAAAGGGTTGACTCTTGGAAGGTAGAGGAAGGGATCAGATGGGCTCCAGACTTCAGTCAAACTCATTTTGTGTCTTCAGATGTGAAGTTCCGTAGAAAGAGCAAAAGGATGCTGGAGGCCTGCTCCTGGTTCTGGCCCTTACACTGGCTATTTACACACTCTTGGACAAACCATGTTCTTGGGCCTCAGTTTTCTCATCTGCAGAGTGGGTAGATTGGATGAGATATACTTTAGGGCCCTCCTCCAGCAGTGACATGCTGTGGTTCTCTGTAGAGTCATTCCGGGTAGAAGACAGACTTGGCACACAGCCCTCTTCTAATGCCTGGGTTAGAAGTGAGCAGTGTGCTGGGGTGTGTGTGAGGGTTGGAAGCTGGATACTGCATGGAACAACAGAAACACCTTGTGCAAGGGATGCTTCAGAGATAAAGTGGGGGACGTTGAGAGTGGGAGTAGAAGTAAGAAAGCAGGATGGGGGAGGAGACCAGTGACGGTACAGCACACACGGGCGTGTGTGTGTGTGTGTGTGTGTGTGTGTGTGTTCATAAAGGCTTCAAGAATGCGGTCTCTAGAAGTACAAAGCCCTAGTTAGCTCCCTGATTCAGCTGTTGCCTATGGTAATTCGATGGCTGGGTGTGTCTGCCCCTAACACCCCTGGCAAGATCTTCAATGTGGCTCCTCTTCTCCTTTGTCTAGTGAAGAAGTGCTGCCCGTTCTGGGCCCTGGGTATCCCATCTGGACCTCTGCATCCCTCAGGCTCTCCCTTGCCTGAGCTGAGTCTAGAAACCAGGGTCACCAAGCATGTTATTATGAAAAAATTCCCTACCATTCTCATCTACTCATCATCTAAGATTCAAGTAGCTCACTGTTCTGGCTTATCATTCTGTTCTTCATCTCTAGAACCTAAGAGTGGCCACACAGGGCCAGGCCCATGGACCAGTTAATCCAGCAGCTTGTCTGGATCAGAAACACTGCTGCTTTTCACAGTGTTCTCTATCACAATTTAAAAAATTGCCCTGCTTGTTTGTCTCTTCAACTCTTGTAAGTTTCTCATTCAAAGACCAATGTTTTTCTCATTCAACATTGAATAAGACTTGGACTTGGTCACAACCTTCTCAAAACTCAGTTTGCTCTTTGGTAAAATGGGCCTAATAACATTAGCCCTATCTATCTTGTGAGAATGATGAAAAGATAAAAAGAATTAATGAAGTAGAAGGTGGTAAGAAAAATAAAAAATCTCAATTTTTTAATATTATTTCAAATCTAAAAATCCAGGGCCTTAACATTGGGAGATAAGAAAGGCCAACTAGGGGCCAGCCCAGTGGCGTAAGCGGTTAGGTGTGCGCACTCTGCTGCGGCAGCCCAGGGTTCACCGGTTCAGATCCCGGGCACACACCGACGCACTGCTTGGCAAGCCATGCTGTGGCGGCATCCCATATAAAGTAGAGGAGGATGGGTGTGGATGTTAGCCCAGGGCCAGTCTTCCTCAGCAAAAAAAAAAAAAAAAAGAGGAGGATTGGCAGATGTTAGCATAGGGCTGATCTCCTCACACACACACACACAAAAAGGCCAACTATATTTAACTGAGGTTGAGTAATCTCCAAAAGTAGATGAGAAAATATTATAACGCTAGATCATTGAGCAAAGCTTAAGGGATCAACAGGCTGCCGCTACTCCAGCTATGTCCCAGCTACGCCAGGAAAGTATAGGAAGGCTGGTTTTCATGCAGGCTGAGCTAATGCCCCCTGACCTTAGAGGATGCTCCAATAGTACCCTATCTCCTCCAGGGCAGAAAACAGTTCCCCTGGATGTGCAGCTCTTATAACCAGAATTTACATTCCTTCCCTATATGGCCCTGGGCACCTCTTATCTCTAGGCTTCAGTAAACTCCCTTTTGCATTGGGAGGAACATCTCCTCCTTGACTTCTCTGGGTGTTAGGAAGACAAATGAGGCAAAACGCAAGTAGTGTTTCTCTTTTCCTAGAAAGTACTACATGACTTCAAGGACTATTTATCATTATCATCATCATCATCAGTAGCATTATTATCTATAACGTCACTCTGAGTACCTAACCTGTATGCAGGTTTGGGAGACCAGGGAAGATGTAGAGGGAACAAACACTCTGCAGTGTCCTGGGGAGAACCTGCTAACCTCAGAATCCCTATCCAATGATGACTCATCCCCACTAACATGCTCAAGTTACCTTAGGAAATATGTCCACTCCACTCTTTCACTGAAAGGAAAACTGAGTCAAAGAGCAAGACGAAAAATTGGCCCAGCTTCTCTGGAGCTGGGACCCCAGGGTTTTAAGGCACGTAACTGATGCAGTGCCTGAATGTGGTTTGGTTTGGACAGTGCAGACCAAGGCGGGCAGCCTTCCCCTGAGCGGAGAATAGTGGACCAGCCACCTTAGCTAATGCAAAACTAGGCTCAAATGGCACTAACTAGCTTCTAGTGTGAGTAAGCTTTGTTCAGACGCCAGCTGACAAAGCTCATGTGCTAACCATTTAGCAAACCCTTCAATAAAAATGCCAGGTTGATCTAGATTATAGAGAAATGAGAAGGAAGCACTCTAATTTGAGCACCCCCCCAACCATGGCGTTTTCAATAAGATGTAATAGGCTGTTTCTAATTCAGCATCCTAGCTCTGAAAAGTCCTGGCCTATCTTGCACCTGTTCTGGAATCTATCTATTCCATGGTTTTGACTAGTTTGTCTAAAACCTAACAGAAAAACCGAAATCAAACTAGCTTAAACAATAGGAAAAAAATCTTGTGAATTAATAAAGTAAGAGATTAGCTCCCAGGTTAGGTCATATCTCGGCTTCAGAGATATGTCATCAGAGATCAGGTTTCCATCTCTCTGTTCTGCCATCCTCAGACTGGGCTTTGCCCTCAGGATGGTTGCTTC